ATGGAGTGCAACAAAAGTCCGTCTTCGATTAAGGTGGATTGCAACACCAACTTTTTATAGATCTTTGAGTCATCATTTTTTGAACAATGGTTTCAGCATTGAAAGGTCGATATTAGCTCTTAATTATTCTATATGAATTTTTTTGTACTTTTTCAAAGAAAATGAAAAAAATTATTTATCCAAATAAGTTACGAGGGTTGATCCAAAATTTCGTGGAATTTCTCCATATTTTATTTATTTATAAGTGAAATTCGCTTAAAATTACAAATGAGAATATAGACACTTGTTAAATATTTTAAATACAAAAACATTTTGAAAATTCATGATAGTAACTCTATGGCAGTTGCCATAGAAACGGTTGTTTGGAAACGCGGGGGAGACATTAACGCATTATTATCAATTTAATTTTTAATATCTGAAATGAGAATAAAACCGCCCTATTTGGTATATAAAACGAAAATTTCGCCATTATTACGATTGCTTGAATTTTTATAAGCCTTTGTGTGAGAATTGTACTGATTTTACTGAATATTCTGTGTATTAGTCGATGATTTATTGCTCATTTCAAAGTTGTTAGGCAACGTCAAATTTTCAGTCAAGTCATAAACTTTGTGAAAATCCCGGGGTCACTCTAACCTAAAGGCGCATATTATTGACATAGGCTGGGGAAAATGCATTTAGTTACTGGTTGTCCAGTGTCATAAGAAATTTAAGACAAATAGAGCTTCCATGGATGTTGATAAAAGAAAAAGGACTTAACATATTTTTTTCTTGTCAAGAAATTTCTGGGTTGGATTTTTTTTTTACCAGAGTGACCCTCTTGGAAAAAATGTCCTATAGATCCGCGCCTTTTTTTTTTAAATTTACATAAATATCAATATAAAAATAAAATTTATTCAAATATGTGTGGCAGTTGGCAGTAAGCAGTCAGCAGTTGGCAGTAAGCAGTTAGCTGTCGTATATGGCATTCCATATATAACCATGCATTGACTATTCGCGTGATAATGTATCAGTACTAAACTTCTGCAGTTGACATCGTTATTTTATCATCACCAATTAAAAAGTAAAAAATCACAAATTACTACATTTTGTATTATTTTTCTTCTGATGATTAATGTATTAAAGTAGAAAAAAAAAAAAATGAAAGAAAGTTATAGGTTTCATAATTATCTAAATATTTCGATACGATGCATTTTTTAAAGGAAAAACCATATAAAGGAGTCAGCTCGGAGCCCTTATCTCGTGATATACTCATGAACATTCTCATTTACTTTTAAAATAAACAAATTATCTGTTTTAAAATACCTTTTAACAATACGTGAACGAGTTTTTAAGGATTACAAAGTCTCGAGGTTTGTTACCAAAATTTCAGTCATTCCTTCTAAATTTGGATTGCAACTGAGTCTTGACACATGTATGTTTTTATATAGTTTTTTCGATAGAAACTGATTAGAGAAAATATGTAGACATTTATTTAAAAAGCAATGGCCTTGTTCCACGATTACAAATCGTTCCACAATCTACGAATGGTTGATCAACGTGACGTCATAATCAAATGCAATGTCGCAATGACATCAGCGAACTAAATGACTGTCACTGTGACGAAAACTAAGTGACGTAACAATCACTTTGTTAACGTCACAATGAAGAACAAAGTGAAATGGTAAGAAACTACAATGGAAGCATATGAGCCTAAAATTGTAAAGTTAGAGGACAAAACAACATTAAATACAAAAGGAGAATTGTGGAAGCCAAACAAGAATTCCCAAGCATCTCTGGAACATGAAGGATACGAGTTTAGAGGCACAATAACAAGCAGCAAGTTTTCGAAAATTAAAACTGCCCATTTTAAAAAAGAAAACATCGATGTTGCTGTTAAGATAATCAAGAAATACAAACTTCCAAAGGATGTTCTGGAAAAGTTTGTCCCGAGAGAAATAGCCATTCTTCAAGGGGTTCAGCATCATGGCATCGTAAGTAGCGATTTTTAAAAATCAAATACAATGTATCTTAATTTATCATATTTATAATGTCACATACATGTGTCAATGTAGCTACAGATTTGCATACTCAGTAATTAATATTCAAAACAACAGGTTGTTCTGTATCAATTGAAGCTTGCTGCAATAATATAGTCCTCTCCGATTTTTTAAAAATCTGAGGTTCTCTCCCAAATAAAAAAGGGGGGGTTGCTACATTATTGCAGCTATATTGAAGCGATTTGTTGTAAACTATGAACAAAATTCGTTGCAAAAATGTTGTCAATATTCCTTTTCTATACATCCTGTTCATAGGTCGAGCTTTTGGCAGCGTACGAGTCTCCATGCTGTTTTTACCTTGTAATGGAGCTACTCCCAAGGGGCGACCTTCTGGAATTTGTCAGTAACCTCGGGTGTCTGACAGAGCCGGATGCCAGGCGGTTCTTCCATCAGCTTCTGGACATTGTAGCCTACCTCCATAAGGAGAATATTTGTCACCGAGATATAAAGCTTGAAAATCTTATGCTAGACTGCTGTTTTAATCTCAAACTAACTGGTATATGACGTTCTTTGATGATGATTATTTTAAGATTGCACTCTAAAATCTATCAAAACTTCACCTTAACTTGTAATTTATTCGTACACACATGGAATAGGCAACATAGAAAAGAGAAATGACTTGATATTCAATATTAAATTTACTATAAACTTACATATAAATTTATTTCAATATACAACGAACCCAGTTAATTTTTCCCATAATGGCCATTTACAGTAAACTTGCCCTTTCATTTTAATTCATACAAAAGACTGAAATCAATGTTGCTATGTTCACATTCAAAGAAGACTCTTCAAATGACATTTCGAGCATTTGGATTAATTTAGTTTAGTCAAAAGTATGAACTATTTTAGAAAAAAATGCAATTTTTCAATACAAAATCTAATTTTTACAGATTTTGGAATTGCGCGGTACATGAAAAATTCCGAAAAGCTTTGCACAGCGTGTGGTTCTTATGTTTACACAGCACCAGAAGTAATGAATGGGGAAGAGTACGATGGAGCAAAGGCAGACATTTGGAGCATGGGTAAGTTATTAAAAATATTCATTATCTTGACTTGTTATTCATCATTTTGATGATCATTTTCCCCAACCCATTTATAATGTCAAAACTTTCGTATGTGGTGCAATTGTTCCAGGACGGAAAATAAAATTTAATATGGTATTGTGTTTATCTTATGTACAGCCTCGTCATCCCGAACTCGACAGGATCGAGAAAAATTTCGAAATATCTTAAGGTTTCGAGATATTGAGTAGAAAAGTGAAATACTAAAAGAATGAGTTAAGGACTCCCATATCACTTCGACTTATACATTGTTCTCAAGATATCGATGTTCAAGATATCGAAGTTTCACTGTAGAACTATTTTTTTCCAGGTGTCTGTCTGTATGCCATGTTGTGTGGCAAGCTGCCATTCAGGAATGATGATGTCGACATTTTGCGACAGTCAATGAGAGATAGGCTTCACTTCCACAGACACGTTTCCAAAGGTATGACGGATGCTGAATAAGTATCTCGTTTCATACTTTAGAAACATTAGATTAAAAAAATTAATTTGTCCTATCTTTTATTTCAGCTTGTAGATATTTACTGCGCAAGATGTTGAGTTACGATCCAGAGAACAGACCGTCCATACACGAAATCAGGAAAACCGACTGGATGTGTAAACCAATCAAAAATGTGGGCGAGTCGTCTGTGTCTTCCTTGTCTGTTGCAGCAGGTAAAGGTGTTAACAAAATTCAATCCTAAAAATGTTTTTCAAATTGAGACTTTATTGATTATCAAGACATTTTCCTCACTATTCTATCCCATACGCACATTTCGTGTTTTTACATTTTAGTGACGTCAGACTTGCATCCAAATGTCATGATAGATCCCAATGCTGAGCACGGCTTTTCTTGTAATCAGAAGGATAAAAGATTTAAGTCAACCAAAGTCTCCGATATCTTACACTGCGTTACAGAAAACCATAGGTATATTATAATCAGCCCATTCCATTCGGATATTCATTGTGTTCTAAATTTATCTAGATGCAAAATTAACCAGTTATCTCCTATAATTATCTCATAACTAGATAAACTCCTTATTTCAAGAATTGGTTATGTTTTACTTTAGTTCTGGGACCAGTAAAGTAGATCTAAAGGCCATTCCTACACTCAAACCTGCTTCTGTGGCAGCCATTACCGGTGTGGCTGGTCCTATTGGGAGAAAGATCAGTCAACAGATGGGACTCAATATTGGTATAGAACTTTGTAAAACCATTAGAACTTCACATGACAGAAAAGTGCAAAAATCATTTTAGCTGTAAAATATTTTGTATCTTTCTTAGAAAAATTGGTTTGTGATACTGTACTAAAACACTGTTTAATGTATCACTGCCTTTGTAATTTCAGACACAGCCACAGAGAAGAAAGATCCACCTGTAAAATCTGGTTTAGGAAAAGCTGGTTTCAGTCGAGCCATGAAAAGCCTGAAAACCTTCAAAAGGGCCACAACAGTCATCCGAGCCACAAGACGATTTAAGAGAGGCCCACTCAATACCATACTAAAAATCTCTCAGGAGGAGGCCATGGCCAAAATAATGGACCAAAACCACAAACAAGTGGAGCATGAAACCAAAGAACTCCACAGGTGTACCAGTGGTAAACTGGCAGCACATCTAAAGGAGGTCAGGCATGAAGAGAATTTGTCTAAAAAGAAAAGCCTGCAGGAGATGGAGCAAGCAAAACAGGAGCATGAAGAGAAAACGTCCAGACTTCGTCAAACTGTCCTTCACTTGATGCCAAACTTGAAAGATAAATTGCAATAGAAATAGGCAACTACCGAAAATATCAATTAAATGTGTACTTGTAAATTTTTGCAAAATTCCAAAACACTGATTTATTTTCATTATGAACTTGTGAACTTGCATACCAAAGGCTTCAACAAAAAAATCTTTCTCATTGCATCAAATTGCATATAAATAAGAAAAACGATAATTTTTTCAGTGTTTTATTTTTTTTTAAAAAGTGTATAATGAGCACTCAAAAATGCATGGCACCAAAAGGACAGTTCATCATATAAGTTACTTGTTCATTTCTCCTGTTTCTCTTTCTTTGTTTTCATTTCGCTTCTCACAGTGTTCAACAATTTCTGAAATACAAAAAATAGATTATTATCTCCCTTTAACCAAGTACCTGCAAATTTCAGTAGTTCATAGAAGCAATTAAGTATTGGTGCATGTTCATGTATTACTGAAGGACAGCAACCTTTAGCATGCACACACAAATAAAAATCACAGTTTTGTCAGATTTAGGTAATTATGAAGATAATTTAGATTTCTTCCATGATTCTAGTCTCTACTTGTTGACAACAACAAAAATTCTGGAGAGAAAAACATTTTAAAATCTTTTCTTTTAAGATAAAAAAGATTCCAGTAGGGCCATTTTTAGCCAGTGAGTCGGGAGAGGGAAAACAAACATTTTTGTAAAGTTAGCTTGACTTGATCCAAGTTCCATATTGACAAAGGAATATACATGTATAAAGTAGTGGAAAAGTGAGACTGAGAGAAAAAAAAGACCTTATAAAAGAAAGATACAGAAGTTTGGAGATTATTAATTATCCTGGTTCAATCAAGGGTGTATGGGGATTTACCCCAGGTTTTATTCCATACACCCTGAGGCCAAAGGGTGTATGGAATACAACCCGTGGTAAATCCCCGTACACCCTTAATTGGATCTGGATAACAAATTTATTTCCTATGTTCCCATAAAAATGGTTTGTAAACTTCAGAGTGTGTCTCAATCTATCGATAAGATCACTACCTACTACAATGCATCTTGACATCATGTTATTTGGTTTTTATCATAGAGAAAGTATGCATTGTGACGTCACGTTTTATTTACATCCGGCTCTAGTCGGGTGCACTATTAGTTATCCAGGTTCAATCAAGGGTGTATGAGGATTTACCCCGAGTTTTATTCCATACACCCTGAGGCCGAAGGCCGAAGGGTGTATGGAATACAACCCGGGGTAAATCCCCGTACACCCTTGATTGAACCTGGATAACGAATTTATTTCCTTTGTACCCATATAAATGCTTTGTAAACATCAGAGAGTGTCTCAATCTATCGATTAGTTAAAGTTCTACGTACTACAATGCATCGTGACGTCATGTTATTTGGTTTTTATCATAGAGAATGTATGTATTGTGACGTCACGTTTTATTTACATCCGGCTCAAGTCGGGTGCACGGATATTTACACCCGACTTTGTAACCAATCAAAGCTCGTGTTACAAGCTAGATAGGAAATAAAGAAATTTACACCCGACTTTGTAACCAGTCAAAGCTCGTGTTACAAGCTACATAGGAAATAAAGATTTATATCAATTTCTGCATTTGTAACTTACTTGACATGATTTCTTTGTAAGCTCGAGTTGCCGGTGAGTCAGGAACTTCAGTAAGAAAGGACTTCCCTTCATCACAGCATTTACCTGAATATAAAAAAAACCCTTTAAAGTCATAATTCTTTCTTCTCACAATCACTAATACATGTATTAAATATAAATCCACATAATATTCCATACACCAATTTCTACGCACAGTGTGTGGAGAGAAATATCTCAATCTGTGAGTTTCACATCTATCAATCTTTTACTCACAAATATATCTTGCCATGAAATATTTATTATACCCCCCGCTTGAAAAGTGGAAGGGTATATAGCAGTAATTGGTATGTCCGTCCATCTGTTACGCTTTGGGGTACCCATCTCTTATCCACAACTCTCATACCACTGAAGGAAATTTAATGAAACTTTCACAGAATCTTTATTACATATTGCCATTGTGCACCTCCTATTTTACTTTTTGATCTGACATATATTTTGGATTTTCCAGAGCAAAACATGGATACTGCCATTATATTCATATGGGAGGCGGGGGGTATTATTTAGTGAGCTCATTGCTCACAGTACCTCTAGTTTTATTGTGTATTCATGCAAAGTATTTCCTCAGACAGGACTATTAAAAGTCACAGATTGATTTCAAAGTGAGGAATTACAAGGAATCATTGCATATATATCTTCTACAAATACTTGTAACCAATGCTCCATCTGTTAATTTTATCAATATCTATTATAGACAATGTCAAACAAGAAATCTGTGAGCCAATGCTCACTAGGAATACCCCCGCTCTGATGTGAATAAACACTATCATGTTAATATACACAAGTTCCATTACGGACAGACGCACAGACAAACAGGAAGTTGACATCGGATTTGAACAAAAATGTATCCCACCGTATGGCATGTCTCAGAGAAGATTGTGTTAAAATTTCAAGCATCTGCGATGAGTAGTTGCTGAGAAAACTGTGACGAAAATTTGTTATGTATGAAACGGACAGACGCACAGACAAACAGGAAGTTGACATCGGATTTAAACAAAAATGTATCCCACCATATGGCATGCCTAAGAGAAGATTGTGTTAAAATTTCAAGCACATGCCTTGAGTAGTTGCTGAGAAAACTGTGACGAAAATTGGTTATATATGAAATGGACAGACGCACAGACAAACAGGAAGTTGACATCGGATTTGAACAAAAATGTATCCCACCATATGGCACGTCTTAGTGAAGATTGTGTGAAAATTTCAAGCATCTGCGATGAGTAGTTGCTGAGAAAACTGCGATGAAAAATTTGTTACGGACAGACAGACAGACGGACAGACAGACAGACAGACACACAAGGGTAAAACAGTACACCCCCCTCTCCTTCGGAGCGGGGGTATAAAATGTTTCTACAGTAATTGGTGTTATTTTGGTAATTATGAGCAACACAAAATAAAGTTAACACCCACAATATCAGTTTTATTGACAAACCTATTGATACTGCTTTAAACTGTTTTGAGTAAAACATACCTATTCTAGGATCTAAAGGGAGAGAACCTAGAAATGGGACGTTCATGTCCTCAGCCATCTTCTGCCCTCCCCCGGTGGTTGCTGGGAATATCTGTGTTGAAACCTGGAAAGGGAAAAATCAAATTTTCATTCAATCAACTGCCTCAATTTTAAATCTTAAATCAGGGAGGATAACTCCTGTACTCTTGTTCCATTTTACAGTCTCAGCTTATCCTGCAATAGGTCTTTCCGACGTTGAAAATGTAAGAAAGGACCAAACTAAGTGTCAACTCACTTTACATTTAGGACAGACAAAGCTGCTCATATTCTCCACCACTCCTATGATGGGCAGATCTACCTTCCGACAGAAAGTGATTTCTTTCCGTACATCTAAAAGAGCAACTTCCTAAAAAATAAAAAAAAACACATCAAAATGGAAAATTGGAGGGGGGGGAGCATATATTTTTAATTTTTTATAACTGGAGCACATAATATATAATATTTTGACTTTTTAAAAAATCTTTATTTTATACTCAGATATTTTTTGAAGTTCTGAGATGGAGCGCCTTTGTTTTCCCCTCATGCTTCAAGGATCAAATACATTATTCCCTCAGAATTAGGTCTACAAACCTGAGGTGTTGTGATAACTATGGCTCCATCCACATCGCTCTCTTTGAGGTACTGGGCCACAGACAGGTGTTCATCAGAGGTCCCAGGAGGGGTGTCAATCAGCAGAAAATCTATATCCCCCCAGTCTACATCCCGCAGAAACTGCTTTATCAAACCTACAAAGGAAGGAGAGCCTATTAATCAGTGGCAACAAAAACCAATGCTTTTTTTTTTAAAAATAAAAACAACTTAATTAAGCCTACGCATTATGGGAATCCAACTTTTATTCACAAGCAAGAAATATCCACAAGTTTTGTGACTTACTTTAACTTGCGAAAATTAATCACCACAAACCATTTATTTAGCATTATATTTTATAGAGAATGTTTCCTCAGTTAATCATCACTGATTGATTTCAAACTGACAAATCACGAATAAAAGATGATATGAATAATAGTTAGTTTACTGTATAACAATTGGTACCATTCTTTTTAGGACCCCTCCATATAACTGCTTCATCTGCCTTAGACAGCAAAAATGCCACTGACATTAGAGACAAGTTGTCATCAACATACTGAAATAGAAACACCAAAACTTGTCATACTGAGATAGACATGCTGAAATATGTTGCCACCAACATACTGAAATAAATAATTGTCAGCACTTGTCAGTACTTTAATAGATTGTCAATAAACTATAAAAGGTTGTAAATATTCTACAATAGATTGTCAACATACTGTACTTAATTGTGAACATACAATGTATTATAGATATATACAAGAGTTATTTGTAATGGAGGTTCAAAAGCTCATATTCCTTCATTGTTCAACCAATTAAAAATTTTTATATATGCTATTTTGAATTAGAATTTTATCATTATTTTTCTGAAGTATATAAATTTTAGGAATTAGCCCCCTTTATTTAAAAAAAATTATTTGATAAAGATTTTCCAGTGACCAAATATTTCTGCTATATTTTCTTAAACTTGGTAAGACAAAGAGGGAAAATCACTGAGTCGACCTCCAATATGGCGGCCAACGGGAGGTAACTTTCGCTAAATTCAGGCCTATCGAAAACTATCTATAATACATTGTCAACTTACTGTAATAAATTGTCAACATTTGTAATAGACTGTCAGTATTCTGTAATACATTGTCATTTAAGTGCAATAGATTGTCATCAACTTAGTGTAACAGATTGTCCTTACACTGTAATAAATTGTCAATAAAATGTAATAAATTGTCAGTATACCGGTACTTTAATAAATTGTCAGTATACTTTAATAAATTGTCAATATACTGTACAAGATTGTCAACATACTGAAATAGATTGTCAACATACTGAAAGAGATTGTCATCAACCTTACTAAAGGACTGAAATTGACTGTCTGATGCATCCATGATTTTATTTATAATAACCATAACCAATGTTTAAAAATAATTGCTCTTTTAGCTGATCATTATTGTAACATATTTTCAGTATTTCCTTTTGATTCTATCTTGTTTATGTTTTCTTTTAATTATTACGGTATACATTGCAGTTTCATAACTTGCCATGATTTCTTTACCACTTTAATTTTACTGTTTTTGAAACTGTGACAAATAAAGATATGTATACAATTCTGTCACCTACCTGTGACTTTCAGAGAATGAAATATTTAGATCTTAAAAGTATTAATCTATATACATGTATGGTAAGTTATAGATCAAAGTACATAAAATAGATATTCATTTTCTTTCTTTTTTTTTTTACTTTCCTCAAGTATAAGTTTAATAGTGAAATGATATTCATAAAAGGGTGGAGAATTTTGTGCATACTTTTCAAAGTTTATGAAATGACATTATATCTTACAACAAATTCATTCAAAAATATTTTATAGAGAAGTTTTATAATCAATATAAAACTATCATTTTTGTAGCTTCTTGGGCAATCTCTGGGGAGACAAAACTGTATTGCACTAAATGATCAACTTTGTAGGAATGCAAACAGAATTTAGAACTGTCTATAATAAATTCATGTTCAAACAGTTACAGGAAATATGAATGATTCATGAACTTTCATGTGCGTTAACACCAGACTCATTAGAATTTTGCCATAAAAATCGAACAACTGTTCACATTTCAGTAACTTACAAAAACATTCATTTTCTACTCTTTCTTATAGCCTACACAATGCTTTTAAAGTCTAGTCAAAGTAATTTTTTTCACATAAATGCATTCAAACTTTATTAACACATTAGAGTAATGATTTCATGAAAGCATTCATGTGCAACTTTTCTAAAATATTGAAGAAGAAAAAAAATCGATCAACCTGCCCTTTAATCTCTTCTATATGTTTCCCCCTTCAAACCCATTACCGTGATCTGATCAGATCTTTGAAATGGCAATTGTTGCCATCACTGACATGTTTTTGCATTTTGCTTACATTTCATTTTTTTGTTTTCATGCTTTAATTTGTCTGTCTTGAAATAATGTCACTTTAGAGAAGACAAATGCAACATTGGCATTTTAACATTTTGTAATGTTTGCAATATCACCTTATTACATGTATCATAATCTTCAATCAATATCATAGAAAACATTCAAAATGTTCAGGTGTTGCTATGGAACAAACTTTCTGCATATTAATGTCAGGATCGGAATAGAACCCACAGTGCATTAAATTCATTGTCAGTATAACAATAGGGGCTCTCCATCTACATCAATAATCATCATTTTTCAACAAATACTTATATGCCCTTCACTGGAAATATGTAAACACTGTTAAATATTCCCATCCATTAGTCTTTGATAGGAGATGACTGACTGATAAAAAGTAAAGGGGGGCTCATCACTTCCAATAATTGACAATGAAATATAAATGAGGCTGAACTAAAGATGCCCTTGGGTACCGAAGTATTGGTTAATTCATGCCAATGATCTACAAAGACATTGGATCAATTCATCACACTGTATCATGGTTATGTTCCAGCTAATTGAAGACCAGGTAGAAATTACCTGTGACCATGATAGAACAAATGAATAAAAGAGATCTCTTTTTGAAATTTTAAGGTTGCTTTTCATTGAATAATGATTAAGGTTGTACATACCACTGGGGACCAGCCAGAACCACTCTGATGAACCTAAAAAATATGTTCAGTACAATTTGTATACCAGGGAAACTTACATTTATTAATGTACAAAACATATTTGAAATAAAAAATACAAAAACCTCAGTGCTTGCAGTATTTGCTTAATTGAGAATACAGTTTGTATTAATAATAAAATACATTGTAGTTTATGTGCTTTTATATGTGTGATCCTTTTGAATATTAAGTACAAACTGTGCAAAATAAAGCAAGAAATGCAAGAAATGAATAAGTGTAAACCATTTTTATTTATATGGCCATATAAATAAACATCAATTTTATTCAATGGATAAATTAGTGTTCACTATTGAAAATGTAATATATTATATGTCTAACTCAATAACCAAGTTTTTTTTCATTTCTGCAGAATTGATTACCTGTTCTCCCTCTACTCCAAAGATTTTGGGCAAAGATGGGCCACAAATATCAACATCTAATACACCAATCTGTAAAAAATAAAAAGAAAAGTTGAGAAATTTTACTTTCACAGTACAGTAAAACCTGGTAATACTAGTGAAGTATTGGGGACCTGTTAATTAGCTTTGCTATATTCATAATATTCCAAATAACAAATCTGCATATGTATAGTGAAAACTCTCTAAACCAACACCTGTGCAATCCATTTTTAATGATGAGAATTCTGACCCTGATATTCATTTCATTTTCCATTTTACTATTTTTCACGTTCTAACACTACTTAAACCAACACCCTGTCTATTATTGCAAAAATTTCTCCCAAATGCAGATTAGACAGGTTTCACTGTATATTTAGCAAATTTGCAATACATATTTACAGTGAAACCTCTCTAATCCAACAAACATTAGGGGACAAATTTAGTGTCAGATAGACAGGGTGTAAAATTACTCAGTGGAAAAAGCATGAAAAATAGTAAAATGGGGAAGAAATTTAATGTTGAAGTTGAGAGTTAGAGGGATTGGACAGGCGTTGGATTAGACAGTTTTCACTGTATATATATTTTCTTCATCTATGTGTTTGATATCAAGAAAGTTCATCAATTATAACTTTACCCTCAATATACAGGACACAAAATTAATTCACTGAAGATTTTTCAAAATATTTTCAACAAAAAAATTGCTGTTTTTATTAAATCTTTATATATATTATAAATGTTGCTCATACTAAATCAGTTGTTGTATCATGTCAATATCAGACCAGAATTTTAACCCTGTGTCATAAATAAATTGTGCACCTCTAATTCATCATGAAAAAGGAAACACTTGTACAAATATTGTTACAGTAATGTCCAATTATCTGTATGGGGTTAAAGTCTGTTGGTCATAAAATACTTTAAGATGGCTAATAGTGTATTTTAAAATACCTGACTGAAAGATAAAATATGTAACCTAATAAATGTATCAACATATCACTAGAAAAGTTGTCATTCAATAAAATGTTACCGATACATCTTAATCTGTCATTCTCCACCCCCCTCTTTGGATCAAATTATTCCAACTTGTCAGGTTTCAAAGAAATAAAATAAATTTTAAATACAAGGTACTGATGCATGGATAGGGGCATTGTATGTGTGATACCCCCAGCAACTCAAAAATATAGGATTAGAAAAACCAATTGTGAAAACACCGAAATTCAGTTAATATAAACTTAATATCTGGCCAAAAGATTCTACATTTTTTTAATATGTGTACTGCTTAGGAATATCATTTATATAGGATTTACTTATAAAGAATGTCCATTTAAAGTTTTAAACATCTTAATTCAAACGAATTATTGGGGTTAACTTGCAGGTAAATTGTAGATCACTTGAACAATATTTGTGCAGGACTATTGAAGTCGGATACACACAATGGAAAACCGGCCCTTTAAATGTCTATATTGAATCTTGACAGTTGAACCGAGGGTATTTGCATTTTAAACAAACCTAGGCCTTATGGGTAAGAAACAAGTTGTCATGACGGCACTGTGTTGTATAGGGCAGCGGACATTACGTGAACCGTTAGATATAGGTGTGATTGCCTTCATTTAGTTGAAAACTTAGGTAAGTTTCACTTGTCACAGCTTAAGGAAGCAATGACATCACCATATGTTTAATTACTTAGCCAACTTTTACTTAGATTTTTTATCTGCTTTTTGAATTTTCATTGATGAAGAATTTCTTTTAATATCAATATGGATTTATAGTTTACGCAACAGCTTGAATCAATATTTGGTGAATCCCTTTACTATTCAGACACCTTGTTTCATCAAATATGTATCCTGAGCAAGTGTCATCGTAACATTAATCAATACGAGTGCCTTTCGTTCTTATCATCAAACAAATTACCCATCTTCATGCAATTTATAATGCTATTTTTTGCTACCTTGTCAAACATTCTGGTAACTTCTGAATGGGGCACGAAATTGATGTTTCATATCAAAATCAATCACAATGGGAAAATTATACATCAAATCAATAATGCCTGCTTGTGATGAAGATGTAGGTTTCTGCAGGTGTTAATAATTATACTCTACTTCACACCTGATTCATTTCTCTATAACACAAGGTGAAATTAAACGTCCGATTATGAGGTTCTGTACATTTAAATGCAATTAAATCTCCCCCCAGATTGTTTTCCTATTGGTCACTTTATTTGTCTGGATTATTCTGTAAGAAAGATAAATTCCCTCCTAAGTGTGTATACCCAGATATTTCCAATGGTCTATAGGTAAATATTGAGAAGCCTCGTGTTCGTATTACACTAACACCACGGGGAGATTGTAGAGTATCATTTAGATAGATCTGAATAACTGGCCTATCCAGAAATGATACCTTGTCTGAGTGTCCACAATCATTTAAATATTACTGTGTTGACATTACACTTAGAAGAATGGGTTTTATCAAGATAGAGGGTTTATTACTCTGTTTTATAATCTCAATTATTTCCCTTTATGATTGTGAGCTGGATTTAACAAACCCATCATGATTTTCTATCATACTATAAGACTGCAAAAGGCATATTAAAACCAACAATAATTGCTTGTTAATAAAAACTTTTACAATCTAGAGACAATTTAATGGATAGAAATATTTTCCATCAGCCATTCATTTCCCAACCATCATAAAAACTCTGATTCTGACATGTCTAAATCAATCCCATCCAAAAATGCAATTCAGTTTTAAAAAATCACCCAGGAACAAGTTTTTCAAAACAAAATTCTCAAAAGAACTGGGGCTACAACTTCATTTGATCTTATATTGTACAGAAGTTTTATGAAGAAAAAAAACAATGTTCTTTTTAAATTTTATATTTAATACAATAAAACTCCCTTATACAGAACTTAGATATAAGGATTTCTTGATTATAAGGGAATTCCGCATAATTATGTTAAAACTTTCTCATATAGATTTACATAATCTGGGGTAAAGGGAACTCAAATTCATGTCTTTGGGACTTTCTTCATGTTCTTACAAGCAAGTTTCACTCTAACTTGATCCACAACAGTATCACTGCAATAGCTAGCTCTTTTCTATAAAAGGCTTGTATCCATGCATTCTATAAGTATCATTTTGTGAATGTATATTGAATGTGCCATTTCTGATGAACCCAAATCATGCCCCACCAAAAATAATCTCCTCTTAAATATGCATGTTTTCTTTCCAGTGTTTTAACCAGAGGTATTTAAGGATTGAACAGATTTCCCTAAACATAAATAAATTGAATAGGCTTAAACTTCTTATATACTGCATATTCCAAAATTGATACTCAGAACTTGCAAATATCAATATTTAAATGTTTTTCTTGCACAAACATACGCATTTCTTATTTGTATACTTATCCCTCATGACCTTGCACAGAAAGTAATCTCAAATATCCCCTGTAATAAGTTTGATAAATACCCTGTGTAGTAACCAATTGCAAAGTGCCATTCAGGTAAATTAACTTGCACACTTAATTAACAGTTTCTTGACAAGGTGCAATTTAAATCATGTTGCATTTATCAATGATATTTCACAACCCAAAAGTGTATTAAATCCTACGACATTAAAATTTTTTCTTTCTAACTGAAAAGCTTGGTAGGGAAGCTATGCTATGACACCCCAATAATACTGATTGACAAGCGATAGCAAAATCAAATCAAAAGTTACGTTTACAAAAGCCCATGGGAGATAAACACTCTGAACAAAAGACAGGTATTCCTGGCTATGATAAGCTTAGATTAATTTTGAAAATTACAGGTAGTATAAGGATATTTTCTTATGCTTACCTGTTTATCTGCAGAAAGTCCATGTGCCAGATGAGCTGTAAATGTACTTTTCCCCACACCCCCTTTTCCTGACAATATGACAAGCTTGTGTTTTATTTTTGACATCTTTTCTGTAATGTCCCCCAAGTCTGAAAAAAATATGTATAATTGATAATCATCATTAAATCTCAAACTTATAATGTCATGGACACCTGTACAGGGACGTCCCTAAGAACTTGGGGCTGAGGAATTTTACTGCCTATAGTAATGTAATTTCCTGGTTATTTTGGTATGCCTCCTAAACTTCCCTTAAGGAGAGAAACCAAAGATTGTCTTCTGCTTTTTTAAATGTCCCCTTTTTTTTCAATTCTTAGGGACAAACCTTCTTGTATATCTTTTTTACTGGAGAAATCTTTCAATAAATTCACAATTACCTGGGTCTGGTCCCTTGGGTTTTGTTGCACACACATTTTGGTTGGGACAGCCCTGGCAGGTGGAAGATTTTCCAGCTTGATCACTGTCAGTTCCTGGGCAATCTGTCATATAAATGCATCAGTAACTATAATGGTCCTTCTTTCTTAAGTTCTTATCTTCAAATTAAAAAAAATAAATATATAAATGTAAATGATTTTGAAACATATTTCATCACCTTGATCAAGTGAAATTGGAACAACATGTTAAAGTTAAAGATAGGGCATGATTTAAATTATCTTTTCCTTATTTTACCAAAGAAGTGAGAATTTCTTTTTCCTTTCCATATATGTACCATAAAAGATAGTAATAAAAATTTAAGTTAATTAATTGACATATCATTTAACATAAGAGCTCAACCAGATCTGGTAACAAAGATTCCTATTTGAAAATACAAGCTTAATATGACAGATAGAATTTATTAAATTGAATTTATTCAATTTAATGTACCATATTTATTTTCTATATATCTCAAGACTAGAATTGTAATAAAAATTTATTTGTGCTTATCAAGTAATCAAATCAACTTTCTGCAAGTAACTTTCTGTTCTGCAAGTAACTTTCTGCTTATAAGTACTATGTTAAAGTTTGTTCAATTATTAAGTCTGAATATATTACTAGAATGACTAGACTAAAACTATTTTTTGACTGCATGTTTTCCATTGTGAAAATTTACACCAACAAAATACAATGGCCCATGTGCTACATTCAGCACGCTTGGATTATATGATGTATATTCAGTTTGTTAATCTTGCTGTATAACTATCAATCAGTGTTTCATATATACTTTATTCAAGTTGTAAACATATTTGGGACCTATGTTTAGTTTGTTGGTATATAGGTCCCTGATATTTCTTAGGATTTCCTAATGAAATTAAAGTGAAAGTAGATTTTTGTAAATTGACTCATTGAAAGCATCTCTTGAAAAATCATTATTTGAGACTAAAGTAAGCACTTTCTAGGTATATTTTTGCTTGTAATTTATTTCATTTGATCCTTTTAATGTACCGATACACAGTATCTAAGGTAAACATTGATGATTGAAAACTAGAACATGAAAAATTATACAATATTTTCTTGGAGTATTCGAATATATAAATCGTCCAAAGACCAATGTTTGGTGAATTTATTATTGAAATTTTTAAAAATCTTTAGACTGGCGTTTTAAAAATGCACTTATTGCAAAATTCAGACGGAATTAAAATAACTTACGTTCAGGTGCGTTTGCTGGTATGTCCGCCATTTTGAAATTAGAGTTGTCGTTCTTTGCAACGCCCTCTATTAGACAATCGTTCCAAAAGCATTTCGGGAAAACATCGAAAGCTAAACTTTTTTTCATTGAGAAAAACAATGGAAAATAATTTGCTGACCGCCTCTTTTGTGCCTAACAGTGCGTTAACAAGGCCATGGTACAGATTTAAAGGTTAGTTAATGTCGATAACATATATGCATTGGCTAAATATAATGAAATTAAAAATTATCAAAGTTTAATTAGATCGAGAAATTTACAGTTGTATTATTTCGTGTGTATGGTGAAGGCATTTAATTAAATTATGAGATAGCTAATAGAATTAAATCAAAATAAGAGAAGTTGGTCATACTTTATGCATCATACATAGGAAAAAAATCTGCGCTTTCTTAAAAAAAAAAGGGGGGGAGTATTTATTTAAAGATCCAAGTGACTGACATATCATGCACTTATGTCGATACAGATAACCAAGGGATGGAAAATGGAAAAGACAAATAACTTTTAATGTGAATATATGGTGTCTTATATTACTCAATTCTCCTCATATTCCTTTTGCAAACCTGTTACTAGCTGGTATACATGTGAATATACTTAAAATCACTTCTTCCTTTTAAAAACTCGCGTTGATCTCTCATACTGAACATATTAAAATAGCATGACAGTTAATTCTTTAACTTGTATTCTGACAAAAAAAGAAATATACATGTATTTGTGTTTCTTACCGTGGCCTGCACATCGGCTTCTACCGCACGACGGGGTTTTTTTTACAGTGCGCGTCTTTGCATTGGTTTTACTTTCTTAATTAGGGAGCATGGACTCGTCTCAAGCATCCACCCCCTTCCTTTCATGGAGTACGGTTTAAACAATGCGTTATGAAAATGAGACAATACCATGTGGCCATAGTTTCAAACCACATTTTGTAAACGATTTCTAGTAACTAGAAGAAAAAAAATGGACTGTAAGTCAAGGACATTTTTTAATAGCTGAGTAGGAAAAAGGTGCGGAGGGGTGGGTTGGGGTACAATTTTATACCAGAAAAGGTTTAACTCTGGGGGAGGGGGATGTACAATCTTATACCAAAAAAGTTCCCATGAGAAAATGAGAAGTGACCTGTTCATAGGAACCGGGGGGGGGGGGGCACCGACCTACGGGCCTGCTGTAAGAACTCTGCATCAAGTACCATTTTATTTTGTCCGTAAACGAGGCTTTATTTTTACTGATATGGGGGTCTAGTTTGCTACCCACTCCCACTTGCCCCTACTCCGCAACCATAGGCCCTAATGCACAACAGAAAACTATGTTGTATTTATCACTGTGACCTTAAGCAATGAATTGAATTTGTAGATCAGTGATGCAGTTGTCTTACTTTTACTTAATTTATAAATAATTATCATGCTGGTCAATCTGATGGTAAATGACGCAATGTTGGCACTAAAGCAAGGATATTTCAACCTTTTTACACACCATTGTATCAGGGACGTAGCAACAGGGTGGAGGGGGGGCTGCCCCCCCCCTTTTTTCTCCAACAATACTTTTACTATAGTAAATATGCAGTGAAAGGATGGTTGGCCCCCACACTTTTTACCATAGTATAGTGATATGAAGGAACTGTACGGAAAAAATTAGAAGTGAAAGTAACTTGTCTTTGAAAAAGTTGCCCCCCCCATCCCCACGAAGTAGGATTTTCGAGCTTGGGCAACTTTTATATTTTCCGTTTTTTTTTCTTTTTTATGCTTATCAACTTTTTCAGGTAAGTAAAAAAAAATTTTCTTTGGTTGCCCCCCCCCCACTTTCAAAATCGATGCTACGTGCCTGTGTATAATATCTTCAATATATATGTCTATGTTCATTTTGTATTGGTGTTAGAGTGGAACCCGATATAACTTAAAATCACTAGACCGTTTGAGATTCCATATCTACATTAATTTATTTATCGAAAAGTTCTATGGACTATATTTTGGATCTTCATTTGGAAAAAAGTAATGATGCATACCCAAATTGCCTGTAACCTATTTCAGTGATTGATTGTAGTTCAAATTACAGTCATATACGAAATTCGATAACACCTTAATTGATTAAAGGAACCTTCAAATTAAATAACGAACCATTTCCTTAAATGTTTTGGAAACTTTCATTTTTGATCCCCAATAACTGTGCATTTCTGTTTACGCGTTGTCGAAAAATTGACAATAGGCTTAACTTAAAATTCGCAGACTGAAAGGTGGTTCAAATGCATATCAAGGCATAATAAGATGGATTAGTGTGTTTTATACGATTTGTTTTAGTGTTAACTGATCCAATGACCCGTCCTACCACACTTGGATCAATATCGGATCGGTGCACTTTCCCTGTTGGTTGCTTGGCGTCTCCAAGCACCCACGAGCCTGTAAACATAGACCAGAATCGTCATAATTTTTACCTGTAGGAAACTTATAGGAGATTAGACCTACTCAGTTCGGTGTTGAGGGATTTAATAACTTTAGTCTTGCTAGGATAGACTGTCTCGGTGTGTTTTCTACCTAAGAATTATTTCTTAACTTTGATTAACATCATTTAGTTTGTAGGTATGTATCTGTTCATCTTTCTGTATGCAACAAAACATTAATCACTCATTGAATACTGAACTTGTCATTTAAATCACCATGCTTCAATTAAAAAAAGCAATAAATGTACATGTAACGCAACGCTAGCGTTATGGGTCATTCTTATCAATGAAGAAGATGCACTTTAATGAAATTGTCCCTTCTCTGTTTGCAGAAGAAGTCCCTCTTTACACAGCAGCCCCCAGGATGGAGTATTTGGGCCACACCCAGACAGCTACCTACATGACAGGTCCCAGACTTGGAGGAAGCAACCCTCAAACCTTCCTGCCAAGTATAAGCACAATGCAGTCCTCCTACAAGTCTTACGACACATACCCCGCCCCCTCTCCACTCAGGAGGTCCCTAACAACTCTCCCCTTTAGGCCTAGCACTTATTACCAAACCGCCAGGGTCAATCCAAGTTCAGCGCTCACAAGAAGTGTTCCAGAACCTTTCTCAGCAAAGAATCAGCTCTCTGATTTGGACAATGTTAAAGTTCCCCCAGTGTTTGCTGCAGCCAGAAATGCTTTGTACACAAGGTACACACCAAATGACTGGATGAGTTCAAACCAAGGAAACTACTTGGCGTCCGATAAAGTGAGGAGTATGGCCGAGCGCCTGAGGTTGGACACCGTCCGTCTGTGCAGAGAAACAGACGACAAGACAAAGAGAACCCAGAGCGATGTCGGAAAGAGGCTCGGAGAGAGATTGGGAGACATCCAGTTCTGGAAGACCGAGGTCCAACACGAGACCGATAACATGATCACTGAGATTAACGCTCTCCAGGAGGCCAAGAGGGTGCTCGAGAAGGCCTTGGCAGAGACCGAGAATCCCCTCCACATCTCCCAGGAATGTCTCTACCACAGGGAGAAGAGGCAGGCTATCGATTTGGTGCACGATAACCCAGAACGAGAACTCATTAAGGTAAGAGTTTGGTTTCTTTAGAGTCAAGTTCAACATCGGAGTTGTATTTTCCACAAGAGTTACATATACTTACCTATTTTATTCCGTTTGGCTAACAAGTAATCCTCGGTCCTTACATTTTCAGGAAGTAGACATCATTAAACGATGCCAGGAAAAAATGAGAAACACCGTAGAGAGGGCCAATGTTCAACTAGGGTAAGGTTGGGGGGAAAAAACTTTTATTTTGTTTTGTCATACCTTAGAAAAAAATCGTCACGATCGTGAAAATACCATAAATTCGAAATACTAGTAAATAATTATGATTTAAGTTCAAGATAATTTTATGTAGTTGTATTCTTCTCTAGAACACTCAAAGTGTAATTATGCAGGTTAACAATCACTGTTATTTGTTTTAGTCATTCACGGGGCTGTAATACAAAGGAAAAAATTAAAAATTAAAATCAAAATTGAATCGAGTTTTTAAGCTGTCCTGCGAATTTCCGCTTTGAAAAATTAAGCCTGAAATGGGCTTGATATATAAAAGGGTTTAATTATTTCACCACACTTTGCAATGAATATCTTTTCTCAATTTGCATTGATTTGATTGACTAGAAATACCTTTCCCCGCTATGGAATATAAAGTGGCAATTACTGATCTTACTTTAGGGGAATTAAAAGTACATGTAGTCAGACGAATACAAACAAATATGTAGCAAAAATGCTTTGAAATACAGATATTTCTTCTACTGGTTTCTAGTACGTTAAACAATGCAACAACATATGTTTAAAGATACACTTAAGTTATTGCTTTTATTAGCTTATGTCGAGCAGCTCAGCATGAATTAGAAAAGGATTCCGGGGACAAGTTTATTGCCCAGAAACTAGATGAACAATGTTTCGGCCTTAGAAACAGTTCTCGGGGAATCGCCTTCCACAACGGAGTTCACCGAATTGATAATACGTAAGTAACCAATGTTCATGTTCTGAAATAGTTGATCCTTTATCCTGTAGCTTGAATAGAGCAGCACAACACGATCTAGAAAGAGATTCATCCGACAAATTCGTTGCTCAGAACTTGGATGAGCAATGCTTTGGAATGCGCAACCAGTCACGTGGTATTGCGTTCCATAATGGCGTCCACAGAATTGACAGAACGTGAGTTGAGTGGAGTTGCCGTTTTGACGCCTGCTATTCTTCTGTTTGAAGTCTTCTGTTGATTGCTTTTTTTCTGCATTAATTCCACAGATGTTTTTTTGTGTACAATATAAATATTAGGAACATCAAAGTGCAATTAAAAAAAATTGATTTGAACAACGAAATTAAAGAACACAATCATTCCCTAAAGTCATGATTCCTTTTTAATACATGTGTCTTGCTTGTTTTAACACATTTTTTGTCTTTTCACAATTTTGAGAACCACAACAATAAAAAGACGTGGTAATTAAACAACGTCTGTAGACACGTCCAGTATATTTGAAAATTGTACATTGTAACAATGCCTCCACGTCGCACTTTCCTAAGATACCAGCACCTTGCATTCCTTTTCCAATTCAAACCAGCAGTTTCTTTGCAAAAAGCATTTGTGTGTCCATGTATATGAATCTAACATTTATAGTTTTAACTTTAGATCTACGTTTATTGTTTAATAATTTTCCATGTTGTACTGTGCGTTTTCGATCATTCGTTTTTCTAACAAAAAGTTGTAATTTTGCATTGGTGATTTATGATTGATTTTTATACATTAGCGTTTCCGTGCCTGAGTCCTGGGCTAGATTTAGCAATGACAACATCCAGAGGTCCCAGAGCGAAAGGGCCGCCTCCAAGGCAATGAGGAACGAGATCGAAAGCGTCCTCAACTCTTGTGCCAACGAGATGTGGCAGGAATGGAACGCCGTCAATGTGGCATTGAACCAGAGGATGCAGGAAACCACAGATGCCAGAAACAGACTCCAGACTCATCTATCAAAGGTATTTCTCCTAGTCTTATGAATTTTAAACACATCTTTGCGGTACTAAGTCGATTGGACGGTAAAACGTTCGATTGTGCCATGAATACCCGACAAAACGTCTTTGCAAAAGTGGTTGATACTTTCTACATGTATTTGCGTTTATGTCTTTTAATGATGTATCTGAAAAACGGAACCTCCCACGTTTTTTCGTTGTTTGCTGCAGGTTCTGCAAGAGATCTTCGATATGGAGAAGAACATTGAACTGTTGAAGAAGGCAATTCAGGATAAACAGGCACCAATGCAGGTAGCTCAAACTCGTCTGGATACCAGGATACGCAGACCCAACGTCGAACTGTGTCGCGATCCAGTTCAACACAGGTACGATACTCAATTTCTCGGGAGAGGTTTGGGGTTGGGAGTTGGGAGGGGGTGGTCATGTGCTTTGATTATTTACACTTTCATGGATAGAGGGAATGTCATCCAGTGGTTTAGATTTGGACAATTATTTTTGGAAATATCCCTTTTTTTGATGACAAGCTTAGATGCGTATATTGAATATTCATTGACTTCTGACTTCGTTTTTCAGATTGGTTGAGGAAGTTGGTGAAATCTCAGAAACCGTCGAGTCCTTACAAGCTAAGCTACGTATGGCCGAGAACTCCCTTCAGGAATTGCTCCGTACCAAGGCCAGCTTAGAACAGGATCTTTCTATTAAGAACAACAGTTTATTCATCGACAGGGAAAAATGTTTGGGCATGCGCAAGACCTTCCCAATGTCACCCCGAATTGTCTCTGTTTAAAAAATGTCATGCTGACTCACCATGAATCAAACTGTTAAAGAATAAGGAAAACTGAAAAACGATGATCGTAATTATTTTAATTTGAAAATGAGTATTTGCAGCCACTCTACCACAGTACAATAATTACATATCAGTATTAAATATAATTTTTTTTACAGATTAGGCTGTGATACTGTATTTTCGCCATTTCGCATTTCGTTAACTAGTTTTTTTTTTTAGAGTTTACACATTGTTATATGTTAAAACTTGCTCTAAGTCATTGAATGCTTTTGAAGAGCATGAAAATTATGTGTCTATTTATATCACCCACTCAGTATTGTATTGTGTGCAAAGGAAATTTTTTTATAAAAAAAAATATTGCTATTATAACTTAACATTCCGTCCAAGTGGACTTTTATGAATTGTATATATATACTTTAACTGTGATATAAGTCGGTGTCCTTTAACCTGAAAAACACGTTTATTTAAGGTCTAAAATTCATTGTTTTTTGTGATATTATTTAAAACAAAAACTTTAATTCCATTGAAAACAACCATAGGAATAAAGTGAGCGCATGCGCTCTCCTAGAAACCGCACCGTGTGTACACGTATTATTGTTATCATAGTGCTATCATGCTATTTATATTGCTATATTGCCATCATTCTTCTCTTAATATTGTTTTGCTCAAATGTGATTTTGTATGGTTGGACACTTTGAAATAAAGTGAATGCAGTGTGTGTTCGATGTGTTTTTCTTGAAGCAAATAATCTTTGAATTATATTGCATTGATCATTATCAAAGACTTGAAAAACACGTGAAATGGAGATTGCACAACAAATATTGGCACAGGGTGGCATGTCAATGAATTCAATTATTTTTGAAGTGTGTAGAAGTTTACTGTTTGAAATACTATAGTAGAAGATGATATGCGAACGATTTAAAATGCTTAGTGAGGAATTTGAGACGAGTCTTTAATCGAGATTAAGTGAACAAATAAAGCATTGAATAGACCCCTGTTAAATTTCGTTTAGATGTTAAAAGCAAAGAATCAGTCAAGTCCTGACTTTTAATTGATTTTGACGAGCTTATTTTGCAAACCACTTGAAGATTCTAAATGTGAACAACAAGCGTTGTACATAGTGATTGAAATAAAACGTTTATGCTACTCGCACAAGGCAATATCATAAAATTATTTCAACGATGATTTTTATCATCTTTCAAACCCGACGGAAAAGGATAAGGTTTTTAATTTAACCAAAAAAAGAACAATTATGGAGGGGATCAAATCAATGTTGATCAACCATCCTCCTTCACTGAAAGAAATAAACAGGCATTGCTTTAGTTATAAATAATTTCTTTATTTACACTTTCAACATGTGTTGTTCTGCCGCCTACCTTCGAGTCATCTTTGAAAGTTAACTTATTTGCCCTGGAAAAACAAGGAGAGATATCTGTAATTTTCGTAAACTTGTTATTTTAAACCCCCTGCAACACACACACACACACACACACACACACACACACACACACACACACACACACACACACACACACACACACACACACACACACACACACACACACACACACACACACACACACACACACACACACACACACACACACACACACACACACACCACCCCCCCCCCACCCTCTGCAACACAAAAATTCCTTTTTACAGGTATTACTATGATAATTATTATAATTTCTTTTTGTGGTAATATTACCAGGTAATTCCATACAATCAAACCAAAACTGTAGGAGAAGTAGCCTTTTGAAAGGGTATATGAACTGATTTTTCACAAGCTGGAGATCTGTAGTTCGCTGGACTGAAAAAAAAAATTGGTATGGACGACATCAATCTGGTTTTCAGATCAGCAAGGTACAGATCTGCAGCTATTATTTCACAAATTCATACCAAAGCATTTTGCGTTTCACGGAAAGGGGGGGGGGGGCGAATCTTATACATGGCATTTTCACGGCCAGGAACACGTTAAGTTCCAAGACAGTACCGTTGTCAGAAACATTTAAAGTTAAGCACTAAAATCGGCTCGTTGTCATGAAAATACAGGTAAGGTTATGACAAAAACTGTCCGGTGTCATTACTTTAGAAGACAGGTCGTGAGCAGTTTTCATTTTTTAAGTTTAATAATTTCAACCAATGTCTGCAATTGCAATGGGGAACAGGACTGCCACCCCTTTTGGAGTTGTATGAATTTCAGCCATTAAAATGAAGTAATAAAAGAGGAGTTTGCGTTGGCGATATTAAACCCTGGTGAAATCAAACGTGGATTTCATTCATTTTCCTTCTGAGATGTTATATTTTTTTGTAAATGTAATATCATATATATACCAGTTGATGCAGTCAGTATCAAGACATGTTATAAGCATTTACAGGAAAAAATTAAACAAATTAAAACTGAAATATTTGATTTATTATAATTTATGTCCGTTGTCATGACAAGATACGAAAATTCAGTCCGTTGTCATATGTCCGTTGTCGCTACTTTACTGTACGTATACACTATGAAGGAGGTCGATTTTAGTTTTTTTTAATGCTTCGATAAATTTCAAACATGCCTTCAATAAATATGCTAAGTAGTCATAAAAAAACTAAACATATGCTATTTTCTATATTTCATACATTAATGTTCAGCTTTTGTTTGTCATACATATGGGCTTCAGCCTTTTCCCTTAAAAAACTAATTTCAAAGTGAAGGAAGAAATATGCTCGCTGACTATCGATTCCTGCCTACATTTTGCACTCATTTTGTTTAATATTAATGGCAATTTGGCCATAAAATCGTTTTTAATACAAAGAACAGTTAAGTGGTAATTGATGAATTGTTTTGATACCAGCGCTAAATAGTGAATTATCCCTATTTCAAGCTCTTAAAAAAAAGGGGGGGGGGGTCGGGGGTAGACGATATTCTCCCTTGAAGGATCACCATATTTTGAAATTGTCTAGGATATGATTAAATGTTCCTAGTATATTTTCTTATGTTTTCGGCAAAGAAATTATAAAAATAAATGTATTCATAAAATGTAATTTTTCAGTTTCAGTTTGGTTAAATAACCAAACATCAGATATGCAGTTTTGTCGATTATTTCATTCACTTGATTGGCAGAAAGTAAAATTATAACAAACCATTAAGGGGGATCACCCGATATTAAACAAAATAAAATAAATCATGAACATAGGTGCATGAAAGGTACAAGTGTGATCCCCCTGAGACTGACTAGAAATTTACATGCAATGAAAATATCAGTTAATCCTTGGAGGCATCCAAACAATTGCACCAATCCAAGATGACAAGTTACTACTATAAGAAAAATACAAATTTTGACCAGAATGCAAAACAATACAGAAATGAATCCATAAAAAGAATGGGTGGAGGGTTTTTTTCCATAACACTAACAGGGTAACAGAAATGGCGCAACAAAAACAAAGATTTTATTCGATTAAAAAAATCCGTAACCATGGTAACTATTCGACGGTTTAAGATTTAATAGATTTTTCATAGCGGCATAAAATGAATTATGTGTGATAATTTTTCTTTTGTTTTGTTTTTGTTTTTTGTCGATTTTTGTCTATAAACATATCTATGATAATATTGCTTTTGTCGTTTTTTGTCTATGAAATATACAAATCCCCCCCCCCCCCATTTAAACAAAAAAAAATAATCCATATCACCTTTAAAAAAGAATTTTTTTTTCACGGGGTGGGTGTGGGGGGGGGGGGTATTTTCCGTTTTTCGTTGATTTCTTTTGTGAAAAACAAAAGTTTTACCAAATTCTTATACTTATCTCTATTTGTTTTTGTTTCCCAAAAAAGTAATGTTTTATGCAAATTTATATAATAATCTATAAAAAAAAGAATATTAAAAATCCTTCGAATATGTTAACTTTTGAAAATTATAACTTGGCGGTACGCGGAAAAACATGTATTCAAATATTATATTATCTGTTAATATATATTTATTATATTATTTTTATCATTGAGGAAATATTCAAAGATTTTATGCAAACGTTAATTTAAGAGCTTATATCTCAAAGTAAAAGAGTCCAGTCATTGGTTCATATTTCTCTTCATTTTGAATAAATTTCCTTGCCTATTCAAAAAATTCTTTTAGGAGTGAACATCCTCTGTCTACCGTTTACACCTATTGTGTGCTCCTTGTCTTGATCGGGAAATGTACCGGGAAAAATCCGTCAATGTGTAAAAAATGGCCTAATAATTACTATGAAAAACGTCAGTCAGCATTTGACTCCATGATAAATTGTGACAAGATCATTGCTTCGACCAAGGAACTTTTGAAATTATGACGTTATAAAACAAGACTTTTGATATTCTTGTTTCTGCAACTTGTTTCATAATTTGTCAATAATTTAATACGTGTTAAAAATTTCTGTATTTTTAAGTTCGTGTGGATCCAATATTTTATTTTTGTTTTACTGATAATATTTCAGGAATTGTTATACGTTTGCACTCTATATATTAAAAAACATCAGAGAATGGTAAGGACGTTCGGGTATATACACTACTCGTAAGACGACCCCCCAAAAGATTCAACATTTTCTGCAATATGCTTTCTCTTTCTTAAGAGTACAAATACATTTGATCATTTTTAGCTCACCTGAGCTGAAAGCTCAAGTGAGCTTTTCTGGTCACATTTTGTCCGGCGTCCGTCTAGCTGTCCGTCTGTCTGTCTGAAAACTTTTCACATTTTCGACTTCTTCTCAAGAACCGATGGACCAATTTCAACCAAACTTGCCACAAAGTATCCTTGGGTGAAGGGGATTCAAGTTTGTTCAAATGAAGGGCCACGCCCTATTCAAGGGGAGATAATTAGGAATTATTGAAAATTTGGTTGCATATTTTAAAAATCTTCTTTCATGAACCAGTGTGCCAGAAAAGATGAAACTTATGGGGAAACTTCCTCAGGTAGTGTAGATTAAAGTTTGTTCAATTCATGAACTCCCGGGGGTTGGGCGGGGCCAAAATAGCCGAACAAAGTTTTATATAGAAATATATAGGATAATTCTTTAAACATCTTCTTCTCAAGAATAACTAAGCCATAATTGATCGTATCTATATGGAAGCATCCTCAAGAAGTGTAGATTCAAGTTTGTTCAAATTATGACCCCCAGGTGAACAATAAAAAAACATTTTCTACTTTTTCCTACCCTTAGTGCTCAGGTGAGTGATGTGGCCCATGGGCCTCTTGTTGTTATATACGTATATTTATTGATTATTCTGGCTAAAACCAGCCCTTACTATTTCACTTCTAACAAAGTGAAATAGGGACTAGCTTTAGTCAGACTGTTTTATTTATAAACTTATATGTTAAGAAAAACACCGGACTAGAAAAACTTAACATGTACTGACAACGGACATTTTGCTTTTAAATTGCGATTTCTTAAAGCCTGCTATAAAGAATAGGCTGTCAGTTGCCTAACACATGTAAAATTAAGGTTTTCTTCGTATTTCAAAATAAAAACCATTTTGATAAATTTTACGTAAGAAATATTAAATTTTCAGGCTGATGATCATGACTTCACACATGGGCATGTGATTGCCAACGCAGACTCCTCTTTTATTACTTGATTTGAACGCCTGAAATTCATACAACACCAAAAGGGGTGTCAATCCTGTTCCCCATTGCAATTTCAGACATTGGTTGAAATTATTTAACTTTAAAAATGAAAAACTGCTCACGACCTGTCTTCTAAA